CCCTGGACAGGATGAGACCAAAGTCCCTGAACAGGATGAGACCAAAGTCCCAGGTCAGGATGAGACCAAAGCCCAAAGTCCCAGGTCAGGATAAGACCCAAGCCCAAAGTCCCAGGTCAGGATGAGACCAAAGCCCAAAGTCCCTGGACAGGATGAGACCCAAGCCCAAAGTCCCAGGTCAGGATGAGACCCAAGTACAAAGCCCCAGGACAGGATGAGACCAAAGCCCCAGGACAGGATGAGTCCTGGGACTTTGGTTTCATCCTCAGCACCCTCACAGAGCGCTCAGCACCCTCACAGAGCGCGCAGCATCCTCACAGAGTGCTCAGCACCTGCTCAGCACGCTCATTCAGCTGCAGTGCGTCTGGAGCCCTGGGCTTTGTGGTTTTCAAAACCCCAGCCCTAACCCTGACCCTAACCTAACCCTAACCCTAATTCCAAACCCTAACCCCAAACGTTAACCCCAACCCTAACCCCTAACCCCTAACCCAACACTGTCCCTTTTCCTTGGCATACAAAACTCACCAGCCCAGGTTCCTGATGTCAGTTTACATGTGGGTTCGTGGTGGGGTGTTCAGTTTTTCTGTGCAGGATTTCTCCTCTACAAAGCTGCCAGCATCTCGCCCTAGCCACAATGGCTCCACTGGGCCTGGAACTTACAGACTTTAGACCATCAATGTCTTTCCCAATCCACTCCGTCACCACTGGCCCTTTTTAAATGCATTCCACTGCAGTCCTAAAACTCTGCATTTTCATCGAGCAATCCCTCTCTTTCTGACCCTGAAAATATTTCAAAAACCCCTGAAACAGTCCTTAAAAACTCCTTAGATTACTATTTAAAGCCAAAAAAGTCCTAAGAAACCTTCAAAATTTTCTTATATATCCTTAAAAGTTGTAGAAATATCCTGAGATAAACCTGCTTAGCCTCCTGGCCCCACCTCTTGCTCTTCCTGTTCCTCCCTCAGCTCCCAGCCTCTGTCATCCTCAAGCCCCCACAGTGTCCCTCAAGAGGCCCCTCAGCCTCTGTCATGGCCTGAAAGGACCCTAAAAAACCCTATACATTCCCTAAAAAAGCCCTAGTTTTCCAAGTGCCACAAAAACCCCAAAATAGCCTCAGAATACCCATAAAATACACTAAAAATTCCTTACTTCTAAAAAACCCCTCTAACACCCCTAAAAATCCCCAAAGAACCTTTTAAAAAATCCCTAAATAGTCCTAAAAGAGCTCTAAAGATACCCCAAAAGTCCTTATTCCAGGTGTAGAGCACCCTCTCCCGTGGGTTGTAGTCCAGCATGGAAATGTGGGAATACTGATTATGGAAGGGGATATCCGTGTATTCGTAGCTGGAAGTGTTCGTGTGATAAGTGAAATAAAGAGATCCCTCAGTACGCGAGCATTTAGCCAACACTGAACCCGCCACACCATGTCACCCCACTGCCAGTCCCGCCTTGCTCCCATCCCAGTCCGGATCCCATTCCCAGTCTCATTCCCTGTCCCGAATTCTCTGTCTGGTTGCTATTCCCATATTCCCAGTCCCATATTCTCTGTCCTGTTTTTGTATTCCTGGTCCAGCCTTTCCATTTGTATATTCCCTGTTCCATTCCCATATTCCCGTTTCCACTCCCACTCCCAGTCCCTGTTCCCTCTCACCAGGTGCCGCCACCATCGCTCCGGCCCCTTGGATCCCTCCCTGCCGTGCTGGCCGTAATTCCCAATTAAATTCCAAATTAATCCCTTCAGGGCCTTTTCCCGGTGCTGCCCAGAGCCAGCAGGAGCTCAGGCGCACTTCCCAAAATTCTTCCTCTGGTGCCAGGACTGGGATCTGTGCCCATTCCCAATCTCCAGTGGGATCTCTGCCCGTTTCTGGGATCTGTGCCCATTCCCAATCTCCAGTGGGATCTGTGCCCATTCCTGGGATCATCCCAAACCTTCAGGACTATCTCAAATCCTCCATCCCCTCTGGATCATCCTAACTTGTTCATCTCTCTTTTCTTCTTTTCCATCCTCTTTTCCCACCCTTTTCCATCCTTTTTTCCTCTTTTCCATCCTTTTCCCCCCTTTTCTGTCTCTTCTTCTTTGGAAAAAGAGGTGGGAAAAAAGCAGGAAAAGATCAGAAAATCCCTGGGAGCGAGAAATTAAAATAATAAATTTTTAAAATAATTAAAAACCAGACAGAAGGGAGGGGGAAAAAAAGTCATCAACTCCCACCAAAGGCTGGAGAGACTTTTTTTTATTTGCTGTCGAAATAAAATGGAATTTGGCCCCGAAATTCCCCCCAAAAAATACAGAAAAACCCAAGGCAGAGCAGCTCCATGCGCCATGAATCCAACAGAATTCCAGAAGAACCGAGGAGGAGGAGGAAGAGGAGGGGAAAAAATTGCAGAATTGGGAGAAAAATGTGGAGGAAAAAATCCAATGAGCTAGGAAAAAAATGGGGAAATAAAGGGGGGAAGAGGAAAAGAGGGGGGAAAGGGGGACAAAAAAGGGATAAAAAGAGAAAAAGGGGGGGGAAGAGGGGAAAAAAAGATAAAAAGGGGGGGGAAAAGAGGGGAAATGCAACATAGGTACAAAATAATGGGAATAAAGCAGAATTTCAGTGTGGGACACGCAGAGAACTGGGAATTTCCACCTCGTCACTGCGTCCCTCTGGAATTGCAAGGACGGTAAAGGGGAAGCGTGGAAGCGTAAAAAACAAAAAGCTGGGAATTCTCTCTCCCCTTGGGAATGTCCATCACAGCTCTCCGGCCGTGTTGATGACATGGAAGAGCGTGACGTTGTAGATGACCTGGTGGCCGTTATTCCAGGTGTAGAGCACCCTCTCCCGTGGGTTGTAGTCCAGCATGGAAATGTGGGAATACTGATTATGGAAGGGGATATCCGTGTATTCGTAGCTGGAAGTGTTCGTGTGATAAGCGAAATAAATCTTGGCGCCGGCTAGGTGGGAATTGGTGACGTAGAGAATCCCGCAGATCATGAAGGATTCACCCGCGCTCCGTTTGGGGTATCCCGTATCCCAGCTCCGCAGCACTTCCAAAGTGTGCGGGTCCACCCTGGAGCCCTGGGCTTTGTGGTTTTCAAAACCCCAGCCCTAACCCTGACCCTAACCTAACCCTAACCCTAATTCCAAACCCTAACCCCAAACGTTAACCCCAACCCTAACCCCTAACCCCTAACCCAACACTGTCCCTTTTCCTTGGCATACAAAACTCACCAGCCCAGGTTCCTGATGTCAGTTTACATGTGGGTTCGTGGTGGGGTGTTCAGTTTTTCTGTGCAGGATTTCTCCTCTACAAAGCTGCCAGCATCTCGCCCTAGCCACAATGGCTCCACTGGGCCTGGAACTTACAGACTTTAGACCATCAATGTCTTTCCCAATCCACTCCGTCACCACTGGCCCTTTTTAAATGCATTCCACTGCAGTCCTAAAACTCTGCATTTTCATCGAGCAATCCCTCTCTTTCTGACCCTGAAAATATTTCAAAAACCCCTGAAATAGTCTTTAAAAACTCCTTAGATTACTATTTAAAGCCAAAAAAGTCCTAAGAAACCTTCAAAATTTTCTTATATATCCTTAAAAGTTGTAGAAATATCCTGAGATAAACCTGCTTAGCCTCCTGGCCCCACCTCTTGCTCTTCCTGTTCCTCCCTCAGCTCCCAGCCTCTGTCATCCTCAAGCCCCCACAGTGTCCCTCAAGAGGCCCCTCAGCCTCTGTCATGGCCTGAAAGGACCCTTAAAAACCCTATACATTCCCTAAAAAAGCCCTAGTTTTCAAAGTGCCACAAAAACCCCAAAATAGCCTCAGAATACCCATAAAATACACTAAAAATTCCTTACTTCTAAAAAACCCCTCTAACACCCCTAAAAATCCCCAAAGAACCTTTTAAAAAATCCCTAAATAGTCCTAAAAGAGCTCTAAAGATACCCCAAAAGTCCTTATTCCAGGTGTAGAGCACCCTCTCCCGTGGGTTGTAGTCCAGCATGGAAATGTGGGAATACTGATTATGGAAGGGGATATCCGTGTGTTCGTAGCTGGAAGTGTTCGTGTGATAAGTGAAATAAAGAGATCCCTCAGTACGCGAGCATTTAGCCAACACTGAACCCGCCACACCATGTCACCCCACTGCCAGTCCCGCCTTGCTCCCATCCCAGTCCGGATCCCATTCCCAGTCTCATTCCCTGTCCCGAATTCTCTGTCTGGTTGCTATTCCCGTATTCCCAGTCCCATATTCTCTGTCCTGTTTTTGTATTCCTGGTCCAGCCTTTCCATTTGTATATTCCCTGTTCCATTCCCATATTCCCGTTTCCACTCCCACTCCCAGTCCCTGTTCCCTCTCACCAGGTGCCGCCACCATCGCTCCGGCCCCTTGGATCCCTCCCTGCCGTGCTGGCCGTAATTCCCAATTAAATTCCAAATTAATCCCTTCAGGGCCTTTTCCCGGTGCTGCCCAGAGCCAGCAGGAGCTCAGGCGCACTTCCCAAAATTCTTCCTCTGGTGCCAGGACTGGGATCTGTGCCCATTCCCAATCTCCAGTGGGATCTCTGCCCGTTTCTGGGATCTGTGCCCATTCCCAATCTCCAGTGGGATCTGTGCCCATTCCTGGGATCATCCCAAACCTTCAGGACTATCTCAAATCCTCCATCCCCTCTGGATCATCCTAACTTGTTCATCTCTCTTTTCTTCTTTTCCATCCTCTTTTCCCACCCTTTTCCATCCTTTTTTCCTCTTTTCCATCCTTTTCCCCCCTTTTCTGTCTCTTCTTCTTTGGAAAAAGAGGTGGGAAAAAAGCAGGAAAAGATCAGAAAATCCCTGGGAGCGAGAAATTAAAATAATAAATTTTTAAAATAATTAAAAACCAGACAGAAGGGAGGGGGAAAAAAAGTCATCAACTCCCACCAAAGGCTGGAGAGACTTTTTTTTATTTGCTGTCGAAATAAAATGGAATTTGGCCCCGAAATTCCCCCCAAAAAATACAGAAAAACCCAAGGCAGAGCAGCTCCATGCGCCATGAATCCAACAGAATTCCAGAAGAACCGAGGAGGAGGAGGAAGAGGAGGGGAAAAAATTGCAGAATTGGGAGAAAAATGTGGAGGAAAAAATCCAATGAGCTAGGAAAAAAATGGGGAAATAAAGGGGGGAAGAGGAAAAGAGGGGGGAAAGGGGGACAAAAAAGGGATAAAAAGAGAAAAAGGGGGGGGAAGAGGGGAAAAAAAGATAAAAAGGGGGGGAAAAAGAGGGGAAATGCAACATAGGTACAAAATAATGGGAATAAAGCAGAATTTCAGTGTGGGACACGCAGAGAACTGGGAATTTCCACCTCGTCATTGCGTCCCTCTGGAATTGCAAGGACGGTAAAGGGGAAGCGTGGAAGCGTAAAAAACAAAAAGCTGGGAATTCTCTCTCCCCTTGGGAATGTCCATCACAGCTCTCCGGCCGTGTTGATGACATGGAAGAGCGTGACGTTGTAGATGACCTGGTGGCCGTTATTCCAGGTGTAGAGCACCCTCTCCCGTGGGTTGTAGTCCAGCATGGAAATGTGGGAATACTGATTATGGAAGGGGATATCCGTGTATTCGTAGCTGGAAGTGTTCGTGTGATAAGCGAAATAAATCTTGGCGCCGGCTAGGTGGGAATTGGTGACGTAGAGAATCCCGCAGATCATGAAGGATTCACCCGCGCTCCGTTTGGGGTATCCCGTATCCCAGCTCCGCAGCACTTCCAAAGTGTGCGGGTCCACCCGGCTCACCACGATGTTCCCAGCATTTTGGTTGGTGGTGTAGACGGCCCAAAGTCCGTTTTCATCCACCATGAAGTCGATGTCGGAAAAGCCGCCCCAGGAATACGGGAAGGTGTTGTTGTATCCGGCGCCGGAGAGGCTGCGTTGAACCAGGACGCTGCGGGATCGGAAGTGGTAGCGGACGGCGACATTGCTCTGGAATTTGTTGTAGTACAAGGAGCCGTTGAAGACTACGTGGCCGGTGCCGGCCCAAGGGTGAGGCAGGAGGTGTTGGACGAAGTTTTGGCCGGAGACGAAGTCGGTGAGGCTGCGGAATTCCAGCACGCGGCGGCCTTTGTAGTAGCCATCCATGTACCACACCTGGAGGGGAGAAATGGGGTTAAAATGGGGGGAAATGGGGTTTTCAGGCTGCTCAAGGTGCGATCAAAAGCCCCTCAAGATGGGATCAAAACTTCTTCAAGGTGGGTTCCAAAACCTCATCGAGGTGGAATCCAAACGCACTGGAGATGCGATCAAATCCCCCCATCCAGGATTTTCAGAGAACAGTGCCCAAAAAGTACAGGGATTGTGCCCAAATCCCAACTCCGTGATTTCAGGACCCCAAAAACGCCCCATGGATTCCCAGCCAGGTGCCAAATCCATGGGTTTTGGATTTTCACCAGAAAACTGCTGGGATTTTGCCCAAATCCCCCTCAAATCCCAAATCCAAGATTTGAGCACCCCAGAACATTTTGGGGGATGTTAAGGGAGATTTTGGGCAGGATTTTAGATTCCCTTCCAGGTGCCAAATCCATGGGTTTTCAGGGATCACCGTGCCCAAAAAGTGCCAGGATTGTCCCCACATCCCCTCAGATCCAGGAGATTTTTTGGGAAAATCCTGGGTTTTGGGGGTGGCCCTCACCCGGCTGTCAGTGCTGGGCGTCATCGTGTCGGTCATCCAGGATCCAAAGCGCGATCCCGAGGCGCGGATGGTGATGGGATTGCTGACCCCTGTCAGCTTTCCACAGCCTGGAAAAATTGGGGGAAAATACTGGAGTTTTGGGAAAATCAGGGGTTTGGAAAAGCGGGAGTTATGAGAAAAATTAGGGAATTGGAAAACCGGGGGAAAAAAATGGGAATTAGGGAGGAATCAGGGATCAGGGCCGCAGCAGGATCAGGGAAGCCCTGGAGAGTCCGGGAATGGGATTGTGAAGGGGAAATGGGATTTCCGTTGGATTTTGGGGGATTTTTTGGGTGGATTTTGGACAGAATTGGTGGGAATTTGGGAGAGGTTTTGGGGGGGAATTTTGGCAAGGTTTTGGGGCATTTTGGGACAGATTTTAGAGATGTTTGGGGGAATTTAGAGGGGATTCTGGAGAGGTTTTGGAGGACTTTTAGGAGGGGATTTGGGGCAGATTTTGGGGGGATTTTTGGGTTTTTTGGGAGTGGATTTTGGGAGTGATTTTAGAGATGCTTTGAGGGGATTTTGGGGCAGATTTCGGGTGGATTTTTTGTGGGTTTTGGGGTGGATTTCAACAAGGATTTTGGAGAGGATTTTTGGGCCCATTTCCACCACGATTTTTTTTTTTTTTTTTTAGCATTTGAGGCAAAATTCGGGATTTTTAACGGGATTTTTTTACCCAGCTTCTGCAGGCAGGCGTGCAGCCGCGCCTCCAGCAGCAGCACGCGCTGCTGCAGCTCCTCGTAGTCGTAGGCTCCCATCTCCTCCTGGATTGCCAGGAGAATCCCGGAGAGGTTCCGGACCTCGTCCTTGAGGTGCACGATGAGCCGCGAGTCCGCCTTGTACTGCTCCAGCACCGGCAGCAGCGGCAGCAGCTCCCGCATCTTCTCCTTCAGATCCTGCAGGAAAAAATTGCTGAAAAATCGGCCCCAAAATCCCGGGATTCGCCTTTAGATCCTGCAGAAAAGAAATCAGGAAAAATGGCCCCAAAATCACAGGCTTCGCTTTGTTGTTCTTTCCGATCCTGGGGTAAAAAGTTTGGGAAAAATCGGTCCCGAAATCCCGCGGTTCACCTTCTGATCCTGTGGGGAAAAAATTGGGAAAAATCAGTCCAAAATCCCAGGGTAATGGCTTTTTTTGGAAGCTGTTTGTTCCTTGGGATAAATGGGGTGTTCAGGTTTGGGAATTCCAAAAAATCTTGGGATTTTCAGCTCTGGAAGCCCCAGAGGGATCCTGAGACCTGATCCCACAGGAAAAATCCTGAAATGCGGAAGAAATAAACAAGGGAAAAACTGAAATACAGCGGGAATAAATCAGGGGAAAATACGGAATAAATCAGGGGGGGAAAGGGCTGGAAAACCAGGATTTTTTTTGAGATAAAAAGTGGGAATTTCTCACCTGGAAGCTGCGGGCGTTGAGGGCTTTGTGGCCCTCGGAGGCCACGCGGAGCCGCGAGTCCAGGCCCTTCATCAGCGCCTCCGTGTTCCGCACGTACTGCAGGTCCCGGAAGGTGCGGAGATCCAGGACTTCCATGGACTGGGAGATGTTCTGCACCTGGAGGGGTCGTTAACGGCGTTAATCGCGGCCATTAGTGGGGTTCATCCTAGTCATTAATGGGGTTAACCACGGCCATTGATGAGGTTAATCACGGTCATTAATAGGGTTCATCTCTGTCATTAATGGGGTTAATTACTGTCATTAATGGGGTTCATCCTGGTCGTTAATGGGAATCTCCACAAGGATCCTCATCCCTGGAATCCCCACAGGGACTTTCACCCCAAGCCCAAATCCCCCCATTCCCAACAACAATTAACCCCTTCGTTACCCCCACAAATTAACCCATTAACAAATTCCACAACAATTAACCCGTTCCCGTCTGTTAACTAATTAATTAACAATCCGTTCTGGATCATTTGGGAATTCCCGACCTTTTCCAGGAGCTGCCGGAGCTGGAGGCTGCGGAGATCCCGGGAGCAGGATCCCTGCACGGGAATCACGGCGGTGCAGAGACATTTCCCATCCGGAGCCTGCGCCGAGGTGAAAACCTGCCAGCCCTCATCTGGGCTCTGGAAAAGGGTCTGGAACATTGGGGGCGGGACCTCAGAATTCCCGAAAAAACCCAGGATGATCTGGAAATCCCCAGGTCCCAGAGAATCCCGATCGCAAAATTCAGTTTATTCCCATTTTTGTCTCTTTTCCCCCTCTTTCCCCCCCATTTTTCCTTATTTTATCCCCCTTTTCCACTTTTTTCTCCCATTCCTCGGCAGATGACGTCACAACCTCGCTGACGTCACGCTGCACAGGGAAAAAAATAAAAAAAAAAAAAAAAAGAGGAAAATCCCTCCTGGTTCTCCCTCAAAAATTCGGGGAAAATAAAAAAGCAAAAAACTAAAAAAACGGGATGAACCTCGGGAATTACCCAGCACCGCGCCAGCCCCAAAATCGCCGTTTTTCCGCCCAAAAAGGAAAAAACAGGAATAAAAAAAAAATTCCCAGGAAAAAGCCGGGAGCAGCCGCAGCCCCTCCCCCACCCGCTGGAGCCGTCATGAATCCTTAATTAGGGAGCGTTAATGAATAATTAATGAGGGAGCGTTAATGAATAATTAATGAGAGCGGCCTGGCCGGAGGGGGGGGGAGGCGCTGGGAGGGATTTGGGATTTTGGGGGAAAAAAGGGAGAATTTTGCAGGGATGGAGGCGGAATTCGGGATTTTGGGGAAAAAGGGGGAATTTCCCAGGGATTTGGGATTTAGGGGGAAAAAACGGGGGGGAAAGGGGGAATTTCTCAGAGATGGAGGCAGGATCTGGGATTTTGGGATTTGGGGGGGAAAGGGGGAATTTCCAATGGAAGGGGCCCCAAATTCAGGGATTGTGTCACAAACATTCAGGAATGAGGGACCCCCAAATCCAGGGATTCTCCCTCATCCCAGAAACCCCAAAATCCAGGAATTAAAAAAAAAAGTGGGACTTCTTCCCCATCCCTGATCCCATTTTTCTGAGGTGGTGTGAGAATCCAATTTTTTCTTCCCGAATCCCAATTTTTTCTCCCCAAATTCCCAATATTTCCTCCCAAATCCCAATTTTTATCCCCAAAAGCTAAATCCCCAGGGCCGATCTGGGAAATTCCATCCCATCCCTTTGGGAAGGGGAGGAAAAAATCGGGAATTTTTTTTTTTTTAATCAGGTTTTCCCCAAAAAACTCCAAAAAAAAATTTAAAAAAAAAAAAAAAAAAACCTTTCCGGGATTTTTGGGATGAATTCTGCCCATGCCTGGTTTTAATTCCAGGGGCCGCTTCCTGGTGATTAATGAGGAACAAGGGTGGTTAATGAGGCGCTAATTAACGTCCGGCGGCCGCTAATTAGCCCGCGGAGTTGATTGACAGCTGGAGGGGGAGGAGGAGCTGGGAATGCGATCACAAAATTCAAAAAAAAAAAAAAAAAAATTAAAAAAAATGTAAAAATTAAAAAACCGACCCCTCCCGGTTCGGGGATTCCTCCCCCGGTACCGGGGGGGGTCACTCACGATTTTCTCGGATGTCCCGGCCCGGGACACGGCGGTGCCGTTGAGCCCCACGAGCGACGGGAGGGTCTGGGACATCCAGTTGGTGACCATGGCCATGGTGCTGAGCACGGCCCCGATCTTCAGCAGCGGCACCGTCATTGTCGCCGCCGCCGCCGCCACCGGCAGCGCCCCGTGCCCATCACCCCCCCCGGTGACACCGGGAACCGGCAGCGGCTCGAGGAGAGACCCCCCCCCCCCCCCCCCCCGGTACCGGGAACCGGGGGTGGCACCGGGAATCGGCACCGGTTCGATCGCAGCCCCCCCCCGCCGTAAAAACGCGGCACCGGGAATCGGAGGTGGCACCGTCACCTCTCCCCGGGGGTGGTACCGGGAACCGGCACCGGTTCGAGCAGAACCCCACCCGCCTTCAAAACGCGGCACCGGGAACCGGGAACGGCACCGGGAACCGGGACTCGCACCCTCGATCTCTCCCGGGGGTGGCACCGGGACCCGGTACCGGCCCGATCGGAGCCGCCCCCGCGGTTTTAAAGCGGTCCCGGGGTGGCACCGGGAGCCCCCCAAAGGCCCCCCGGGGGTGTCGCCGGTGTCCGGGGGTGTCGCCGGTGTCCGGGGGCGGCACCCCCGTCCCGGGGCTGTCGCCGGTGCCGGTGCCGGTGCCGGGCCCGCTCCGAGCCGCCCCCGCTGGGAGCGGGGCCCGGGGGTGACGTCGCTGCCGCTGGCCCGGGGCCAGCCCCGAACGGCCCCGAAACGGGGCGGGACCGGCACCGGCACCGGGGGCGGCACCGGGGCGGCACCGGGGCGGGATTAGCGAGGGGCGGGCTTGGAATGGGTTTGGGATGGGTTCGGGATGGGTTCGGGATGGGTTTGGGATGGGTTCGGGATGGGTTTAGGGCGGGTTTAGGATTCGGGATGGGTTTAGGGCGGGATTAGGATGGGTTTGAGATGGGTTTGAGATGGGTTTGGGATGGGTTTAGGGCGGGTTTAGGGCGGGATTAGGATGGGTTCGGGCGGGATTAGGATGGGTTCGGGATGGGTTCGGGATGGGTTTAGGGCAGGTTTAGGATGGGTTTGGGATGGGTTCGAGATGGGTTTAGGACAGGTTTAGGATTCGGGATGGGTTTAGGGCGGGTATAGGGAGGGATTAGGATGGGTTCGAGATGGGTTCGGGATGGGTTCGGGATGGGTTTAGGACAGGTTTAGGATGGGTTTGGGATGGGTTCGGGGTGGGAGCCCCCCAATATCCCAAATTTAGGGGACGGGAACCCCAAAATCCACCAGGACCCCCAAAATGCCCCCAACCCGGGCAGTTTTGGCTTTTTTGGGGGGGGGGAATTTTGGAGTTTTCGTAGTTTTTTGGTGGGGGGAAGTTTTTGGGGTTTTGGGGGGAATTTTGGAGATTTGTGGGGGAAATTTGGGGTGTTTTGGGGGGGGAAATTTTGGAGTTTTTGGAGAGCTCCTTTCCCCCAGTGTCCCCAGTTGTCCCCTAGTGCCCCCCCAGTGTCCCCCAGTTCAAACTGGAGGTGTCCCCAGTGCCCCCCAATGTCCCCAGTGGCCCCCCTCGCTTCCCTTCC